ACACACGGACACCACACATGTAATCACATAGTCAACACATAGTGATCACAGTGTCATCACACAATGATCACAGTATCACCACACAGTGATCACAGGGTCAACACATAGTGAACACACAGACACCACACGTGTAATCACAAATGTTCGGTTTTTGTGAAAAACAACAAAATATGCCTACGACGTACCTCTAAACATACAGTATTTGATTGGATCTCGTTTTAGCGCGCAACGATCGATGATGGCATCCCACTATGCCATGCGCGAAAGCCAAGAATCATGGAAAAGTCTGAATCACGTGACGCTCGTTGGACCAGGACATTGGTTGATTTACCGGATAAGAAATTTCAACGGCGCGTCGTTAGAAAGAAAGCGTGGCCATAGCTAGCTGAGAGTGGAACCTGAGAGTACATTATATTAATAGTTCACTACAGTACCGATTAAATTGGATCTTCATACAGTATTTAGAGATTAAAGAGCTCGTTTCATAGTACTTCATCTTCTAAACAGATCTTTTCGTAAGATGTGGGTCCTAGTCAACTGGACAGAAACGAATCAGACCAGCATTCTGGACGATTCCATGGTGCCAGATAAGACTATGCTTCAAGATAGCACAAAGATTGGAATGGTTCAATACGGTGATCCAAACAACAAAACACCAAAGAATGGTTGGAAAGCTTATCCAGCTGCTGTGATTGCTGTTCATAGTAAGTCCGAATTAGCATTACTTGTTTGTACAGTAGAGATTTGGGTACTAGGCCCTAGACCTAGCTAGGAATGCGCACCGTTTTGGCCGCGAACCAGTTCGGCCGCGATGTATTTACATCCAGAAAATCAGGATATTAAGTGTGTTTTGTTTGTCATATTATTAAAATACTAGGCTATACTTACCTTACAAATAAATAGACTTATGATACCAGTTACCAGTGAGAATTTTAAGTTTGTTAAACTTGGAATTTACACTCGTTTCTTATATGTTGTGTCTGGCCTAGGCTTACCTTGTGCGAATTGACGTAAATAAAACATGTTTTTTTTTGCAATTCCAACAGTCTTTTTATTACTTTTAAGTCAATACGCATATTTATTATATTATAATTATCAGTAGGCCTAGGCCAAAACGGTCCTAGACCCTAGGCATAACACAGCAGTGCCTCTCTCTCTGGCCCCAGGGCCTATATCTGTATCATATGGGGGAATTAGGATAGGCTGGAATATACTGTAGGCTAGGTGGTTCCTCCTCTGCCGGACCGCTCTGATAGGCCTTTAGCCTAGCTTTGTAATTGTAGGCCTATCCTAACTTTACTAGGGCCTCTCCCAGCCTGGGTCCCACATAGGGGTTATTAGGGCCTAGGCCCCTATTATATGTACCGTGTGACTGTCTTCATCGCACAGAACACATCTTGTATATTGGCAATTTCACGGTAGCGGAATCACTATTTTGCTGAATTTTTTAACTTTAATCTTATGTCATATTTATACTTCATTCTAATTCTTAGAACAATTGTCATATTTACATAACTATGAAACCCATCTGTACTTTCCACCCTAGTTTTGTTTAATATTGATATAATACCAAAAAATATGTATGGGAGCGGAACGACAAAAAAAACCCCCTCAATTTTACCACTATACATTTTACTAAAATCCTCTGATATATGAAAGTGAATTTAAATTTGAGTATATCTCAGTTAATCATTATTTAGTGTAGTTTTGAAAATAAAAAATTAATTAAAAAAATATATATATAGTTTTGGAGATATTACTAAAAATATATGACTAGGGCCTATGTCTGGTAGAGGAATCACAGTAGCGGAATCACCATTGATGCAAGTGTGTCTAGAATTAATATTTCTGAAAAACCTGCTTTACTTTGCAATTGAAACATATATAATTTCACTGAATTAGATCTTTTAAACAGAATTATAAAAATTAACGAAAATTATGTATTTTTACTGTAACCACCAAAACAAAATTACATATATTTCAGTGGTATGTCTAGAATTTGACCAATTATACTAAAATAGTATTCTGAGTAATTTAGTTGGTGTAAATATTTATGTTAAGCAAATATATAATATAATTTATGAATATAACTATATTAGCGGAATGACAAATTGGAAAATATGCTTTATTTATTTTGTAACTGATGATTCTTAAAAGAAAAGTAATTACAGTGTTAATTCATATAACTATAAACCCCTAAAAATGATTAAAAGTGAGTACTTATGCAAATATGCAAATTTATATGAGGTAAATGAAAATTGGCAGCGGAATCACAGTAGCGGAGTGATTAAACAATTTCTTGATATCATACTAAACTGTTGATTTTTTTTAAAGCAACATGTAATATAACAGTTAATGGTACTTATTTTTATTAATTGTGTTCTCAATGATAATAAATTAACTATTGATGCAATATCCTTTCAGATCCATAAGAATAGACTAAACACTGGTCACTGGTTTGTGAGCCAATAGTAGGCACTTGGATTTAGTAGGCGGGGTAAAAACCAACCATACAAATTAAAATTAGTTGTTTATATATAAATAAATGTATTCCTAATTATTCAGTTTACTAAAAACAATCATTGATTAACAAGAACCTCTTTGAAATAAAACTCTGAAGCAGAAAGTTTATTGCTAAGTTTGCGAGAAAGTAGGCCTCCCCTTTTTTCCATACATATACTTGTGATTCAACCACATAATTGATCCAAATGCTTTAACTACTGTTTATTTGCATTATTTATAACGTGTGAAGTTTGTATTTCATTTAATACTTGAAAAAAAAGTGAATTTTGTGGTTATCGATGAGTAGTATATTTTGGTAGCAGAAGTACATGTCATTCCGCTACCAACTTTGGTAGCGGAATTACGTTTTTAAAACCATTCTTTTCTAATAATAATAAACATTTTTAATTTATTGCCCATGTTGATACATCTATCAGTAGTCTATTAGTATCTGTACTTTCATTTTTTTTAAACCAATACTTTTGGAGAAATAAAAAAAGTCACTTTTTTGGAAGCGGAATCACATAAATTAACCTAATTTTTTAAAATCAAAAAATATTAATTTTTATTTTAAAATTAATGATTTTTACCCGTAAATATGATAATAGAACCTATTAGATTTTGTAAAATAACATGAATTTACATTTTTTCTGTATTAGTGCCCTTTAATTTAAATGTTGTCTACTACTAACAGGGGGATTTCCTATAGGCTTTGCTTCAGAAAATGCCCCTTTTATGCTTATGCTGGGTTCCACTATTTTAAGAACAGAAGCTGGTTGAACATGTATGATTCACTGTACAGTATTGAAAATTCTTTTCTCTTATGATGTGCATATTAGATGATGAATTAAACAGAATAATAAAGAGAACAACAATGTAAAGATTGTTTATATCTTAGTGCAGTACATTGATTATAATTTTAAGAATGCTTAACTTTTCAGGATACGTTAGATTCATTCCTTTCGCCAGGGACAATTATCCAGCTTCTTCGAAGCCCTAATGCAAACAGGCTCACTCGTGCTGCAATGACCAGCATGTTTACTACTAGTGAACTTGCAACTGGGTTGGTAACCGGCCAACGCTTAAAAAAGGAAGACAAATATCGGCCAGTGTTGGACCAAAAGAAAATCAATGCGATAGTTGGTGAGTTACATTGTCTATTCTGTTTCTTCATTAACATGATTATTAATCTATTTCACAGCTTATAAATAGCATGTTATTGAACAAATTAATTATGTATTTTTAATTTAAATTCAAACATGGTCATCGGTATGGCAACAGTAACATTTCAGTAATGAAACCTGCCATGCTTAACATCAGCTGTTTTCTGTGATCTGATACCTTTTGTATGCTTGCTGAAAATACACATCTAGATGTGTATAAGAGACAGCATACAGTATTTAGAGATTAAAAAGTTNNGATCTGAGGAATATAGTACATTGTACTATGTCCCATTGGACCCCCCCCAAAAACATACTGTTCACACTTATTAACACTGCAGTGTTCACCATGAATGTCCTGCATCCTCTTTGGCAGGCTTAGTGTCACATAAGCGCCTCCTAATAAATGCCCCTCAAAATAACCCTTTGTACATGATCTGTATGTATGAGACATGTGGCCTGTCTTAATCACAATTTGTTTGTTTTGTATAATTTCAGAATTTGTCTGCAAGGCACATCCAGATGTTACAGCAGCAGCCGTTCGCAGTAAAATGTCTCAGAAGTGCAAGGACACAAGGCATTCCATGAAAAGGATAGAAAAGACTACTAGTTAAATGTATAAATCATCTATAGGCCTACTTTTAAACAGTACTTATATGCAATGATGTTTATGCCACTAACAATGCAATAGATATGTTTTATATAGTATTATAACAATTTGGTAGATGTCTGTTAATTTAACTTATTCAGTTTTAGATGCAATATATTATCTATATATTTAACAGTATAATAATTTCTGCAATAATCTTTATACCACCAACAGCTCAACCGATATGTTAATTAGTTTGAACTTGCTGTAATATTTTAAATCCAATAAATCATTTTATAGACCATATAAATCAATCCGATAAACATATACCATATTTATTCAAATAAATACCCAGAACAGCATTTACAATAAATGCCCGATTATTTTTCCCGAATAAAATTGAAGTACAGTAGAATTAAATCACTACTAACCTTACTAACGTTTTAACATTTATTGCATTGTCCTCCATTTTTGTTGAACTAAAGGGGACGTTTTTTGATTATATTCATTTTACACCCAAAAAAATAAACGTCTCACAAAACCCCTTCTTAACAATAGTCATCCTTGTCGTTTATTTGAATAAATTACAGTATGTAGAATGGATTGTTAATGGTATTTTTAATTGTAATAACAATAATAATTTTTATGTTCGTTTACTTTATTACTTATTACAGTATTCACTTTAAAGCCCATTCCCGGCAAAATTTCACTAAAATATTTTTTTTATAGAAAAAATGCATATGCATTACTCTAATTATTACAAACCAGGGAAAAATATTGGCATGAATTTTAGTTTTGTGCAAAAGGATAAAAAAAAAAGAAATAGACTAAATTCTCACTGAATTAATTTTTTGTGTTCATGATATATGTTTAGTTTAAATTTTTTTTAAACACATTTATATACTGTATACGAACTACATGTCGATTTGCTTTTGTACAATTTTATGCAGATAAAAGGTTTTGATACGTACAACTTAATTGTTTGTAAAGGGTCTATTTTTGAAAAATAAATGTTTATTTTATCATATCTTAAAAGACTTTTTAAAATTTATTTCTCTTGTACTTTGCAGGATGACGATGAGCACAGTTTGTTGATTGGGAATTCACAATTTTACCACATAGTGTATGTTGTAAAATTGTGCACACTGTGTTCCACACAGTGCACTCAGTGCAAACCTCACTAATAACACAGTGTCCACAGAGTGAACACACAGTGGTCACTATGTGGTGACAATGTGTTCTCTGTGTGGCAACACTGTGTTCTGTGTGTGGCAACGCTGTGTTTACTGTGTGGCAACGCTGTGCTTACTGTGTGGTGACTCTGTGTTTACTGTGTGGCAACGCTGTGTTGACTATGTGGCGA